TCTTCCTCTTCTTTCCGGATGTTTTCATGTGTCCCTCCAGCGGTGCGGCGTCTCTCCGATCCAGCGCTGACTGCTCTGTCCCTCCGATCCTGCGGTGTCTGCAGGCGGGTGCATGCGTCCATAGACTTACCTTGCGTCTCTGCTCGTCTCCAGACCGAGAATTGGAACTGCGCATGCGCCCGCCCCAAGATCCTTTGCGGCCGTACGAGCAGTTCCTGATTCTCAGCGCGGGAGTGAGCAGCGAGGTAAGTTTAAAATGATTTCAAGCGATTTTTTTTGTTTTTTTTACACTTCTTGCCTATATCTACTGCTTGCTAGCAGTATGTATAAGCAAAACAAAACGGAGGAGCAGAGCGTAGTGAAACTTGGCCTGAATATTACATGCTTCCAGAAAAAAAAAAAAAAAAAATAGTGGTTTTGGAAAAAATTTTATGATGGTCACAAATACAAAAATGCTATTTTTAAATTACTTGTTATATTGTTTTATTCAGGTAATATGAAAGAATATACACTAATATGACAGCCTTACTTTGAGCCAGCAGATGTAGCTTTAGGCTCCTTTCAAGGTTTTCCAGGCTCTCACTTTTCTGTAAATCCCATTGTTTATAGAACACAATGGGGTTGATTTACTAACCTTATAAACACACCACGAACATGTATACACCTCTGTAGTGTGTTCCCTCCCAGCATGATCTATGGGTGGAATCTAAACACCTTTGTAGTGTGTACACACCCAGCAGGTGTGTTGTGCAAAGCCCTGCCCTGAATTGCAAGGTGATGTTGTGTAAATTAGCTCTACATTGTGTTGCTTGCGTTGATGAATGCAGGAATGTAAATGCATGAGCTAACCATTTTTGTCTAAACTGTGAAGCAGCATTATATATGCATCATGTGCATGATTTTTCCATATATGGCATTAGTGGAAATATGCTTATATAGACTTTTTGGTTGATAAATACGCTTTGCTGTGTAAAAATCACACGCACCTGGGGCGTGCGTGTGTTTAGGTTTGTAAATCACCCTCAATATTTTAAGCTGAAATTTAAACATATAAGTGGAGGACTCATCACATTAACTAATCTGTTATAGAACAGCCCAGTGCAAACTTTCAGCTGGGCAAAACACAACCTCAAAGCAGCAGCCTCTGATGTGTCATTTCTTTAGTTATCCCATAGTTTTCTGGGTATCATTTTCATGCATTCAATGTTAATTTGTAAAACAAAATTGAATATAGATAGATATATAGTGAACAAAAAAAATATATATAAAATTGTTTAAAAATGTGATATTTTTTATAAAGAGAATTAAAATAAAACTGAAAATGAATATAGCTGGGGCAGATGGGCCATTAAAAATTCTGAATAATAATATGTAATAGGCTGCCCCATAGTAGACAGCCCTGGTTTAGCTCTTTGAGCCCTTTTCCCAAGGAACCAGACTCTTGGATGATGGCAAGATAGCTTTACTGCAGTTAAACACAAAAAGGAATACAACCACTTGGTGTTTTTCAGGTTGCAACAAAAATACTTGATTTGCAGGTACATGGTTTGCATATGGCAGATTCCCTGCTCTTGTGCTGGTACACCTTACTGCATGCCAGCTGGGATAATATCTGCAACACAAGAATGACCATAACATATTGTCTCCAACAATGTCAGTCTAACTGTATAGCAAGAAATTACAGCATCATGTCAACCCTTACTTTTTAGTAGTTGCACAGTTTACATACCGTGTGCTGGAGGTTAGGGTTAGGTACAACAAGAGTCATCATCATCATCTATAGGTTACCCCGCCATGGGTAGTACAGTACAACTGATGTTTCACTCTCTGGTTGCTCCTACTGGGTTCCTTAGAGGGGATCCTCCAAGCCAGGCTTACAAATCACCACCTAACCTTTGAAACATTCTGCTGAGCACACAATATGTGCATCTCCTGGCCAACCACTTAACAGCCTACATAAATCACATTTTTATACACAACCATTGGCTGATGTCACCAAATAAGAGAACAGGATTTCTCTCATCCCAAAAAAAGTTGCTCCTTCACAGCCATGTTACATTTAGAGTCGTATCACATTAGCTATATTAGTAAAAGTGATATCAGTACAGTCCTTACCTTAAACGGACATTAAACCCTCAGATTTTTTAACATAAACCAATACTGTAATGTGCGCCTTACTGTAATCCATGGTTGTTTCCCTTCTCTTTGCTGCTCTTCCTTTTAAATTCTCATGTCTTCTCATGCTTGGGGAGAACTTCCCTTTTCAGCTCAGGGCCTCTTCCTGTAGTGCTGGCTCAGGTTACAAGCCTATACAAACCTATACACAGACACCATATATACATTCCTGAGACAAGGCAGTCTGCTGCAAAACAGAAGTTCTGCAGAGCATGCAAACAGATACAGATTTAAAAGGAAGAGCAGCAAAGAGAAGGGAAACGACCATGGATTACAGTAAGGCACACATTACAGTATTGTTTTATGTTAAAAAATCTGAGGGTTTAATGTCACTTTAAGTTAGTGATCATTTAGATTCTGTTTAATATAACAAACTACCCAAGAATGCCATCCCATAGTAAAATAATTTAAGTGTTATTGGTCACAAATGATGTTTCTTTAAATCCTAAAATATGTTTAAACACAAAATAAGTTAAAGGCAGCAATTCAGAACATTTATTGTCTAAATTGCATATATTTATTGCCACTAAAACCACATAAAATGTGGGGCACGCGCCACCTGGTGAATAAAGACTCTAACAGTGATTTTGGATAGGTACCCCACCTATGACTGGAATGTGTTCTTTGTCCTGATTAACATAATGTAAATAGCCTATAATGAAGGTTACTATGTGCCCAACACTTTTAGGCCTCATTCACGTGGATGCACAGAGCCGTGCAGCATGCACGTCCATGCAGAAACCTGCACCTGGGGAGGGACATCTTTTGTGTGCAGCTGCCTGTACAACTCAATGACAGGATGCAGCTGGATGCTGTTAAATGCCGATCTGAACTTGTAAATCCTTACAGGTATGGATGCACGCCCCTGGGTGCGGATTGTCTGACAGCCATTTTATTATCAATTGTTGTTATATCTAAACAAATACTTTATTAGCAGCACAGCCAGTGATTCTTCATAGCATCAGCACTACCAACTTATCAACCATCTCTATACTATGCCAGCAGAATAAAGAAAGTTATAAATACTATAACAAATACAAAAAAAGTAATTTCACTGTTTTCTAGTAGCATTTCAAATTTGTCTTAAAAGTGCAAAAATGAAGCTACACATTAATGGGTCAGTGCACACAGATGATATTTCAGTTATAGTTGGATGCTGATGGAGGGGGAATCATGTAGGAATTACCCAAAGGCTTATGTGAGGGGCACTAGCAGCACCATGCTGCAATTTTTGTAATAAAAATAAATGAAGAAAAAAAAGGGAGTGTGATAAAGCAGAGCATAACGTTTCAAACCTGAGTCCACAAAAACGACGGGTACTTCAAGCTGTTGGCGCTTTCTCAAAATAGAAATATCAGTTTGAGAGACCAAATGCTTTAAAAACACTTCAATGTTATTTACACAACAAAAAGCTTTAGCATAATTAGCATTTGATGCACACTTACTTTTGTGGAGAAGTTCAGCAGCGAGCCAGCTAGACTGCCAGAGGTGCACTTTAAAATTAAATTGTGGTTGTGAATATTCTCCACATCTACATCCTTATTACTGCGGATCAATGATCTCTCCGGATGTGCAGATGTTCGCTGGTAGGCAATGCAAGTCATGCCAATAAAGGTTGCCGGCTTGATTAGGATGGCCTCCAGTGCGATATTAAGGGAAACCTGTCAAAACACATTGAGGAGCTGGTCAATTGCCAAAGTGTTTAAGAAATCAACACACTAAAAATTACTTTATTTAGGGAAGCCACATTGACATCTGTTACTGCACACCACTTGTTTCAGGGCTGCAAGACAAACAAATTATCTGACAAATTGCCGTTTTTTCAAGCAAATGAATAACACAGCATAATAGTTCAGCTTTTAAAATCAAATTAATTTTGAACTTTTTCGCAGGGTTGATACCTCCCAACATTTTAACAGATTTAGTAAGCTTGATCTCCCAAACCTTTTTCCAAAAGTACTCATCTATACATATCCCAGTGATCCCACATCTATTTTTATTATGGATTACCCTGCTGTGGGTTAAACAACAAACATGGTTCAAAATTTTTTTAATAATGGAAGGTGCACAGCTTATGTAGTGAAAAAAAAAAATAGCACAATCCCAACCATCTATGAGCTATAGAATGAGAAATGTGTAATATTACATTATATATACCGTATATATATATATCATTTCTTTAACATTTTATATATAATATGACTTATATAAGAGTTAATACTTACCTTTAGTCTTAAATTGTCAGCATACTTGTGTGTATATAAACCCTAAATCTATTTTAGACCCACAACGCTAAGCCACATCTTCACAATATGCAGCAGCATGTTCACCCTGCCATGGTAGCTTCTTTAGTTGGCCTTTAAGCTGTCTATCTGATAGACCTGTTAGGCAACCAACTGAAGGGCCACACATGGCAGGCTGGCAGTGCTACTGCTAATTGCACAGCAGTGGCATAGTGCTGTCAGACTGCAACAGAATGTGCTGTCTGGATGTCCAGTAAGAAAGAAACTTTGCAACATATTCACAAAAATGATTTTATTAAACAAAGTCAATACAATGAGACATGATGCCAAGCATGCTGAAAATAGATAAATGTTGTGTTTTACACAACATGAGTTTAAGAAAAAGCTACCAAAAGCCTACAAATAAGATTTTCAAAAATAAAATTCCCTTACATTTATAGAAACTGCAATAATTAACATTGTGATTAACTCTGGGTTGAAGATTTTTCCATTAGCTGCCATGTATGGCTAAGGGAGGGTAAATAGTGCCAGTATTCTTCTATGTACAACTAATTCAGCTGTTAGAACACCATTTCTGTGTATAATACCATATCTAATAAAAAATTGAAATAAGCTTCTGAAATGTATACATGTATATATTAACTAGAGATGCACCGAAATGAAAATATCAAAAACGAACCCAAAAAAAAAAATGTCAGGCCGAAAACGAATCTGAAAAAGGTTTTTCTAACTTTTTCTAATTATTTAAAATATTACATTTTTATTTTTTATAAACTCATTTTTTTATATTTTATTTATATTTATTTAATATTTTTATTTTGTACTTTACTGTTGGGGGCTTTGGGGAAATATTGGGGATCTAAGCAGACCCCTGATGTTTCCCTTTCAAAATAGAAAAAAGAGATTGAGAACACAGAGCCCTCATTCTCTTTTTCTGCAGCTCGTTATGAATGAACAAGAAGCCGCTATATTGTATGTTCCTGTTCATTCATAACTTGTGGAGATAGTATGTTTACCATGTCCACGATCATGAATAAACAGGAAGTTATGTAGATCACTTCCCATTTATTCATAATTGGGGACACAGTAAACATACTATGTGCTCAATAATTTACAAACACTCAGCGATCACTGATCACCAAATGCTTGTACCCACTCTCCAGCCTGACTCACTGTCACAGGAGGCTGAGCAAGCGGTGCGGGGAGGAGAGCTCGATCTCCTCTGACAGTTGAATCCTCCCCCGCACCGCCAGCCCAGTCACCTGTGACAGCTGACAGCTGTCTCGGCCCCCACATCACCACTCTCCCTATCTGTCACAGGAGGCTGAGCGGGGTGGTGTAGGAGGAGAGCTCAGCCTCATGTGACAGCACTGCAAGCTGTCTCCGCCTCCCACACCACGGCTCTCCTAATCCATCACAGGAGTCTAAAAGGGGGGGGGGGGGGAGAGCTTAGCCTCCTGTGACAGTACTGCAAGCCGTCTCTGCCCCCACACCGCCACTCTCCTAATCGGTCATAGGAGGCTGAGTGGTGCGGGACGAGAGATGCCGGCTGCTCACAGCATTCTCCTCCCCTGCACTGCTCAGCCTCCTGCGACAGTTTCTCTTCTCCCCTCTGGGACACAGAGCAGTGCCCAGCAGGGAGGAGAGAAAACAGGCATTTTTGGCATTTTGCCAAAAGTGCAATTCTTGGCCAATATGTTTCGGCGGCCAAAATTTAATTGCATCCCTAATATTAACCTAAATGCTAAGTATGATAAAAAGACGGATCTTAGGTTTTTCACTTTGTTTATGTTTACTATCTCATAAATGCAAGACACAAAAATATCCCTCCTGGCAGTAAGTAAACACTAGTAATTAGAGAGGGAAACCTATCAAGTATATATCTACCGTGGCAGCAGGCAGAGGAAAATGTCTGGGTTTAGCCAGGATGGCAGAGTTATATGCCCTAGATTCAGATGCAATACTGAAGTTCTCTTCCTCTAGGGAAAAGTGCTGAGAGGGCCAGAGGCTTGGAGGTAACAAGCCCAGCTGAAGATAGCTGGCTTGATAGGGCCTCTATAAGATCTCTCAGCCTCCTAAGAAAGGAGCTCCACCCTGGAACCAGTCTGCGTGCCTGGCGGACTGGGGAGCGGATCACCTGCATGGTAAAAAGCAGCTGGTGTGGCAAAATACGAGCCTGTGTGGCAAGGTAACAAGAACCAGCCTGTGTGGCAAGGTGACAAGAACCAGCCTATGTGGCCAGAGGTTTTGTTAGAGACAACCTGAAATCGGTGAGACTTTACAAATGTTATGTTGCTGAAGGAAGTGTCCTTAATGCGCTACCATTGGAAGCTAGTTCTCACACTCTTGGATTATTCTACTGAGTGCTGGTGATTCCTCTTCCTACATTGTGTCTGCACTGTGCCATTCGTGTTCATCACTACAAGCACCATTGTCTACATAGGCCTTGATTGCTGCAAGCTGTGCAGAGGATTTCCCCTTCTATCCAGTTTGGCAGTCCTGCCACCCCTATAGCACATATAGGCTGCTTATATTCCAACGGTAATCATGTAGGATTTGACTTTTCTTGAAGTGCCTCAAACCAATGCAAACCATAGGTTAAAAAAAGTCTCTGAAAGTTGAGAACGAGCCTTCAACTCTCACATTATGTTTGGCAATCTGAAAGAGTAATCAGTTGAAGCAGGTTCCATTTTCAGACTCGTATTAATGCTCTACAGATATGGCAGACATTCTTTCAAAACATATCCTCCGCTTGGCTACCTCTGCCCTCTTTTATCATAATCAAAACTAGACTCGCAAATGGCTCTCTATAGTGTTATGATGTGAAAACACTTTAGAGGAAACTTACATATCATTATAGCTCAATTACCAGGTTAATTGATAGCAAGCAATAGCTAAATGTCTTTGCAGAAATCCGAAGTCAGCCAAGATATTGAAGTCGAATAATGTTGTAAAGAATGATCTGTGCTGCTGGGAAAAAAATAAAAAAACACCTTGCATACATTTCCATTTTCCCTTTCATATGGCCCTTAGGATTCCAACAAATGAAACATCAGAATGTTTCAGAAATAATAAATGAATACACCGCCATGAAAGAAAGCTACTTGTTTTACTAGATTAAAAAAATGTATAAAGCTGTTGTAACTTACATACAGGAGCACCAGGGTGCAGATAAACAAGCGGTTCAATATACTGGTAATAACAGCAGTGCTGACAAAACAGAATACGGATGTATATACCAAAATGACAAGTACTGCACCAAAATCAGCAAGTGAAGACAAAGCAAAAGGACAGAAATATATCCTACAAAATTAGAGAAAACAAAAATATCTCTGTCTTGAATTTTCAAATCGAAATAGGTATTGAGAAAACATTACAAAATACCTACTTTTGTAACTGAGCAACTTTTACAAATAAACCTGTGGCCAGACTATAGACATAAGTATTTACATATGTTTAACAAGTAGCAAATTAACTTTAAATCAAGCCCTAATTAACCTCTGCAGTCATAGATGCTGTGGGGCAATTCAGCTTTATTTTTAAAATTCACAGCAGAAGCACTGAAGCCATCCTTGTTGTTCTCAGATGCTCAGTTCACCCCTTGCCCCCCTGACAACAATGCTGAGAGAACGAATTGAAAGATTTCACTGCTTCTGCAGTGAATTTAGGGAGGAACTGCTCCACAGTGCCTGCAGTTGTGAAGGCTTGTTTAAAAGCTCATTTGTTGCTTGTTAAGAACATGAAAATATTTGAATGTCTATAGCCTGGGTACAGTTGCACTAACGCCTCAAATGAACTGTAATGTAAGCCCTACCAAGAGTACAATGGTAAACAAGAACTGTAGTTGGTAACAGCTCCACTTTTATTACAGTATTTATTACACAGCACCAAGGACAGTTAACACTGGGGGAGGTTTCAAAGTATTTCTTTGAATTACTTAGTACAATTTCCTTGCTGTTTTTGAACAACTGAAGATGTACTTGCAATGTCCACTGTATAACTTGTTATCTAATTTCCCCCTGGAAGTTCTTTCTCGTTAAAGTTGAAGATGTTTGTTTGTGATTTACTGACCCGTTTAAACTAAATTCCTGCACACATTGAATATTTATCCGAGGGTTGCATTGCATGTGAAAGTTTAAATAAGCTTACAGATTCGGCCACCTAAGACTTCTCCTCAGAGGTGTGTTACTTGATCTGCAACAAATGTAGCCATTCACAGTCTGGCAGGTATGGACAGCAGTGCTGGACACTCTCCAGGGTGACCTGGCAGGTACCCAAGGTACAATAAATTTAGGATGCACAGCCACACACAAACTTAACTTGCGCCTGGAGGATGTCAGGTTCACTGTCTACCTGCTTGCCACTGAGAGTGAGTAACAACTCCCTGCATTTCAGAAAATGGCTTTGGATGTTTAGAAATAGTTTAAGGTGGTAGTAAAAAAAAATTAGCCAATGACGGAGATCTATGATTGTCACATGTAATGTCAGGATGGCCTCAAAGGCTGCAATTTATAATGACATCTTGAGCTTCCCACAGATTTTAAAGGCTGGTAGGACATCTGATCTGACCAAAATCAATGCAAACAATATTCAATGGCGCTCTGCATACGTTTTATTATGTGAATAGAGAGGGGCGAGGTGAGCAGCCATCAAAGGGCCACCAGCACCTATTTAAGTGGGGACATTGTTTTGATCAGAACAAATACCATTTACACTTTCAAGCAGCCCATAGATATTAGATTATAGTTATCTGATACTACGTTTTTTGGCAGGATCAGACGACAATCCTATGTCTATGGCGGCAGATCCAGGCCTGTCAGCCAACAGTTCTCAAGGGAAACACTGATCGGCCTGGCTTGAAAACCTATTCAAATTACTATTGTTCTCCTTGGCCATAAATGCTGCTGGCAGCATCTCCCTGCATTGCTCACCTCCTCCTCCCTACTCTCTGCATTGACAGAAACTTGCTAGGACTGAAGAGCCAACCTTGCCAATTTACTGAAGTGCTGACAAGATTCACTGCCATGAGGGCTGCTGGAGCAGGTCTGTTCATCAGACCACCATCTAAAGTAGGGGTCTCAAACTCAATTAACTCGGGGCCACTGGACAAATTTTTCTCTCCCATGGGGGCTGCTTGCTAAATGTCATACTTCAAAATAAAATGTAACTATATTCAGTACCTGTGTTAATGTCTGCGTGTGTTTATGTCAGTATGAGTGTTTGTGATGGTTTCTTTGTATGCAATGTCAGCATATTTTTGTGATGGTTTCTGTGTGTATTGTCAGGACTTCTGTGAGTGATGTCAGTTTGTGTGTTATTGTTTCTGTGTGTGTCATATCAGTATGTACTGTATACATGTGTATATGTCTGCAGCATCAGTATATGTGTGTTTTTTTCCCCACAGGTTTTAATTTTAATCATAAAGGACCAAAAGATTCACATATTAATTCACACATACAGAAATACACACATCCCCCCACACACACACAGAAGTACGCACACATAGAAATACCCATACATAGAAATAGGCGCACCCCCACAACCATAAATACACATGCTAATATACACACAATAAGGTCCCATTTACACCTGTAAGTTTAGGTGCGATTAGGGATTCCTGCATCAGGAATTTGCATTTTCCTGCAGCAGGAATCCTTAATCTGGCATTTAACAAGCAACAGCTGTCACACATTCAAGTTAATGATCACGTGTCATGTAAATGCCTGCACACCGCATGTAATGGTATGGGATATGATTGCATGCAGTTAGAAAAGAGTCACTCTCGCTGGACATACGATTGTGTATCCAGGGAGAGGGATTTATTCCTAATCGCATGTAATCATATCACATACTATTGCATGTAGTGTGTCAGCATTTATATGCAGCGCCTGCCCCCTGATCATTAACTTAATTGGGTGACAGCTTCCACTTGCAAATGTCAGATTAGGGATTCCTGTTGCAGGAAAAAAAAATGATTGATGCAGGAATCCCTAATCGCACCTAAACTTACAGGTGTAAATGTGGCTTAATACACACACAAATACAACCCCCCACACACATACACTAATACACAATAATAAACCCCCCCACATAAAATAATACACTCTCCCCTGATTAACAATAAGGGGTGCTGGGATGCTGGCTTCCTGGCCAATCAGCATCGAGGCGGCCAAACCGCAT